AGATCTAATCTACATGGGAAGCAGTAAAGGTCTCCTGAGTAAATTGGGAGCATGGGGACCTTGAGAGAGGGTTGATGGAGAGGGGAGAGGCAAGGAGAGGAGCAGAGAAAAATGTAGAGCTCAATAAAAAAAAAGAACCTCACATAACTAAATAGTGGTAATGTATCTTAAATTACAAATGGAACTACTCAGCATTTCATTATCAATTACCTTTTGCACCTGTGCAAGTTAAAGAATCAGAGTCTCAGAGCTTGTCCTTGTGTCTTGAGCCTGTTGAGTTTCTCCAAAGCAAAGTCACTAGGTAAAGCAAAAGTTGAATCTCTCCTTAGGAGAAACTTGGCTTCACCCATGTTCTTCAGCATCTGTGTTCATTCTCTTTTGTGACCTTGTATTGAATTAGCACCAGTGGAAACGATTTCCTTTCTATTAGCAGTCTCTACAGGCTCTTGGAAGACACGTTCCTCCTGTGTTTCAAAGCCTCCTCTTCAACCTCCCACTAAGTGGTTTTTGTTTTGTTTTTGTTTTTGTTTTTCTTGACAAGTCTGCAACCTGCCAAATAATGAGACCATCTGGGTTTGGCCTCATTCTCCTATGCCCTTCTCTCGGTTTCCATTAGGGACTAAGATCCCTTCAATCCCCAGTGCTCACCACCCAACTCATCACCGTAAAAGTGACCCTGACCTGACAAAGTTCTCAAAACACTAAGAATAGAAACATTTCTGCACATATAAAAGCAGCACAAGATAAGTAAGTAATCTTCTGGGGTTCAGGCTTTTTGACTCAAAAGTCTCATGGTAATTTAGGATTTTGGCTGCCTGCAAGGCCTGTGCTTGGCAATATAACCTCCTCAGGTGATTCTCTGTAAGTCCCAACTCCCTAGCACTTATCCTTCATAAAGGACACAAGAAGCAGCATGTACAATTTTTCTTTTAAATTTTTGCCATTTCTGTCCTTTTCTCCTTTTTTGCGGGGGCCAAGAATAGCCTTGAAACATGTCTCCTCTGCTGTAATCCCAGAACTGACCATTTTGAAAATTCAAGGGACTTTTCTGCTACAAGAAAATAGAAATAGACGGGAGGTCAGAGGTCTCTCCCTATGTTCTTTTCCTCATTTTTTACCCAACTTAAACTCAGCAGAGGAAGACAAAGGCACAGATAAGAGAAAATAATTGGATTCCGGCTTACAAAGAACAAATTAAAATGTAGCTGCTTCATTTCAGAAGAAATCCAGACTGCAAGGACTTGGCACAATGAGCACGCTGGAGATCCCTTTTTCCCTGCTCTCCTTTCTGGTTGAATCTTTGATTGGAAGACAAAGACATTTGTTTCAGCATAAGTATTATCACATATAGGACATGACGACGTTCTCAGGGGAAAAGATTTTTCTACCACCATGTTCAGTTTGCAAGGGAAGAGACAGGAAAAGCCATTTAAAAATAGAATGAGACGGGTGCTACTGAGGAATTAGGGGATGACAATTAAACTAAATAAGCAAGAAAATCTAAATATCCTCTAGGCAGCATACAGAACTGCTTTGAGTTAGTATAGACACATTCTGCTAATCTCACCACAAAATGTAAAAGAGTGAGTCCATTTCTTTTCTGGGATCATTTAGGATCATACGAGGACTAGTGAAGACATTTCTGTCACTTCAGAAAGAACAGGTGGATTTTATAGGTTACAAAGTTACTAACTGGACTCAAGATTATTTAGTACTATTATATATTACATATATATATACATATATATATATATATATGTTAGTATACATATTTATGAACCCATGCAAGTCTTAGGTAGGGAAATGCTTATTGGTGCCACAGAAGCACGAGTAACAGAAATTTTAAACTTGGGATTCCCAGAATAATTTGAAGTTAATTCTACAGGCTGGAAATTTTCTTCTACCCAGCAATTATTATTGTTCATGTATCATTGTAAATTAGGAACTTTCTGGGTCGTCTAAGTTTACTTACTTTCTAAGACTTAAGGGTCTCACCTCCTATCAATAGCGAATGTGTCAATGCTGACAAAATAGTTTCACAACACTCCATCCCTTTCTCAGGCTTTTTTTTTTTTTCGAGACAGGGTTTCTCTGTAGCTTTGGTGCCTGTCCTGGAACTAGCTCTTGTAGACCAGGCTGGTCTCGAACTCACAGAGATCCGCCTGCCTCTGCCTCCCGACTGCTGGGATTAAAGGCGTGCGCCACCACCGCCCGGCCTCTCAGGCTTTTTACATCCTTCTCTGACTCTCTTCCGTGAGGCTCCTTGAGTTTTGGAGGGGAAAAATAGATGTCTGATGATTTCTGCTCCATTGGTGGCATACCATAACTATACTTTGCCACAGTATCAGCCATCTCTTCTTAGGACCTTCATTAGCTATGAATCTTTGCAATGTGTCAGATTTATTTTAAAGCCTTTTGCTCCATGACAGATCCACAGTAATAGTAGCACTAATCTAAGGTTGTAAATACAAGATTTATTTAGCAATCAATTTGACAGGTACACTGCCTCCATTTAACCACTATGAAACCAAAAACTAACAAAACCAACAAAATAAAACAGCAGCTGATTCCCCACTAGGACTTATGACCTCCCAGCCATCACCATTTGAAGTTAACTCCATGTTAATCATCAGCAGTCTAATGTGAAATGGGCCTTCAGTAAAATGAGAAAGCACAAGTTTGCTGCTCCTGTGCTGTTAATGCTACTATTGTCCCAGTATGTGCATATTGCCTAGCATATGGTTACTGTATCCGGCAGGGTCCATAGATGATAAGGACTTCAGTTGACAATTTTCATCCAGTACCCTGAAAGACAACAAACAACACGCACATTCACTCAAGTTCTGTTACTCTAGTATGATGTGGGTTTCCCCTCTGGGTGCTGCTAATATGTTTTATTGCCATTGGTTAATAGAGAAGCTGTTTTTGGCTAATGGCTTAACAGAGTAAAGCCAGGCAGAAAATCCAGAGATGTACAGAGAGAGGAGGCAGAGTCAGGGAGACCCCACATAGCCCTTGAAGGAGAAAGAAGTGAGTTGCCAGTCAGAATTTTACCGGTAAATCACGAGCCTTGTGGTAAAATACAAAACCATGGAATTGGGTTAATTTAAGATATAAGAGCTAGCTCCCAATACTCCTAAGTGATTGGCCAAGCAGTGTTTTAATTAATACCGTTTTTGTGTGATTATTTTGGGTCTGGGTGGCCAGGAACAAATGAGCAGCCTCTGTCTACACTAGTAAACCATGACTAACACTGCACCCAAGAGCATTCTTTCTCACTCAAACATAGTACCTTCATTTAAATGCATTAACTTCTGATTTCACTGTTCATTGTATCAAGCAGTGGAAAATAAGTAAGCCCTATAGAAAACTGTGATAGAGTAAAAGAAGGGTTTTGTTTTGTTTTGTTTTGTTTATTTGATTTTTTTTTAAGGTATGAGTGGCCATTCAAGTTCATGGATTTAAAGTACAAATCAATCTGAACACTACGTTGATTATTCTAGCAATGTTCACATGGACAAAACAAAGAAAAATCTAAATGATTAGGTGGCTGCAAAATCAGGATTATGCAAGTTTAGAACAATGGCAAGAAGGAATCGACAATCACTTGCAATGAAAGAAAAGGAAAGGCAGGGATGTGGGTTTTATTCCTTTTGCAAATGAGAGCAGTACTAGCATTAGTTTCACGGGCTGTAAGTTGAAAGTAAAGCATGGGAAATGCTTCAGCTTTCCTGGTACACAAGATGCCCCCAATCAACAATCACCATTGTTGCCAGCGCTTATAAATATCTATGGCAGACAATAAAGGAAGTTAAGTAGGTGGAAGGTGATGAATCATGAGAATGCAGTGGGCTGATGGATGAAATATTTCAGTGAGAGCCAACACAATTACACTGAGAACTTGAGTAAATAAGACCAAGCTAAAGAGAATAGGAAGCTTGTAGAGAGGTTGGTGGGTCAATCGGGTGGGAGTAGTGGACAACGTGACCCAAAATCAACAGATGAGCAAGTTGTTTGCATAAAGCAGAAGTCATTATTTCAAAGCTATTAGCTTCCAACACTGAGGGAAGTTCAGTTCTTTCCTGGGGAGCCTGCTGTGAGAGGGAGGAGAAACAATGGTTTCATTTTACATGAATCAATTTCCTTGCAGGATGCTGGATTTTCCATAGAAACATAAATGGGAAGGGGGCAATTGGCAAGGAGCATTGGGATTTAAAGATAACCCGTGATTATTGATTTAAGATTCAGAGGATCAGAGTCGAAGAATATAAAAAGATGCACTTTCCCTCCTTTCTTTTGATGTTAAATTTGAGTTGCAGAGAGATACTAGAGTATGGGACAAGGATGACCAAAAGCAAGCAGTGCTTTGGCAATCATACATTGCAATATGTCAGAAACACTTAGTTGTGATCTGTAGATAAGTCCCACACTCACCTCTAAATAGTACCCTTGGGAGTCTAGGAGATAATTCATGGGTCAAGGATATTAGTGATTTACTCAGTCCAACCTTGTGCTATTTATATATTCTTACTTCATTACTTTTGATTTTGTCTACATTTGTGGGCAATTTTCTTGAACAGTGTGCTTAATTCCTTCAAACAAACAACAAAGGACTTTTCTTTTAATCTTTTCATGTAATACCAAATCATTGTACATCAGAGACTGTTAAATGCTCATTACTATTTTTGAAATTAATTCATTGTTTATCAAAAAATAGTATTTTAAGCTATGTATGTATATGTATTCCCACATATAATAACCTAATATTTTCTGTTTTAACTCACAGTAAAGCAATGAAACTTTAGGCAGAAATATGAGGTAAAGGAAAGCACCCATAAAATGAAAAATGAATGGCATTGTTTTTATATTTCCTATATAGTTGTAGAATTTTTGCTCTTTTTGAGTTTTTACATAGTATATTTTTATTTCATTTTAAATTTTTAAAAAATTTCATTCAAAAAATTTGATCATATTCTTTCCCTTCCCTGACATCTTTCCAGATCCTCCCATCATGTATGTTCTTTCTTCTCTCATTAAAAAGAAGATGAAGCAACATTAAACCAGAAAGACAAAATCTCATCAATCATAACAAAAAACTCTCAAAAGCAAACAAACAAGCCATACGGTCTCTTCTGTGTTGATGGACTACTGAGCATGATGTCTGTTCTGAATGTGGTCCTTACATCCTGCATTATGCCAGAGTTCGAGCTACAATATTTCATAGAGACTGATTTCTTCAGGACCCAAAGGTCTCCTATCTGTCTTTCACTGACAAAAACGCCGTGAGCACTTTCATACGAATATCGTTGCCGCTGGGCTCTCAACAAATCAAACACATTCTTGAATTTGGAAAGAGCTGAAAAGGCAAGAGAATGTGTAGAGAATGAAAACATCTGCTCTGTCGTGGGGCTGTGCTTGCTACCAGATTCTGAGCTTATTTATGGCGAGGATGATTTTGCTGAAGTCTCAGAAACGTTTGGTCTAGACTTTAGTCCCTGGGTAATTCTCATTTAAATCGTTGGAATTGTCTCTCCCACTTCATTTGCACAAACAAACAAGAATTTGGTGAACATAGCAAATAAATTGGCAAAAACAAGTGAGGAAAATTTATGTAAAAATATAGTCCTTTAAAGGATATTTCTGTTCCATTTCAGAGTAGGCGATTCTCTCAGACATCTCAACAAGGAAGACAAACATGACTGAGAACCTATATGAAGCATGTGTCAAGATGATCTTGATGACTTTTTTCAACTATACTTGTTCTCTTTTTGTGAATACCAAAATCTTACAAATGTCGTGTAATTTTCCCTCTTTCAGGAAAGCATGAATAAGACAGTCAACAAACATAACTATTAAATGAGCTCTTAAAAAGGTATTATTTTTCTCTCCCATTATAATACAATCAGGCAACTAAAAATAATAATAATAAGATGAAATAATAGCAAACAGAACCAGAAGAAAAAGAGCCAAAGAAAGAACACGAACACAAGAAACACATATATGTGCAGATACACACATTCATGCACACAAATCCCTTGCAAACACAAAACCAGAGACTATGATGTGTATGCAAAAGATCTGTAAGGTTAGAACAAACAAGCAAAAGCCATGACAAAGTATCAGGAGACAAGCGCCTGGAAAGATGCTGTCCAGTTTGTTTCGAGTTTGCCATCCACTCTGTGCCAGAGACCTGCCCTTAAGAGTCGCTGGTATATCCCATTAGACTCCATTGGAGAAAATTAATTGTTCTTTTCAGAGTGATCATCAATTTGATATAGCTTCGAGATCAGTGATGAGGACTAGTGTCCATTTCTACTCTCAGTGTTGGGACCCCATCTGACCTAGACCTATGTTCACTCTATGCATGATCCGACAAGCTCTATTGACTCCATGTGTGTTGTCCTTACTGTGTCTACAAGGACTTGCTGCCTTGGTGTCCTCCATCCCCTCTCACTGGGCTCCAGGATGCAGGATTCCCTGAATCCTGAGGGAAGGGATTTGATGGAGATAACCCATTTAGGCTAGGGTGTTTCATGGTTTCTTCATATTGTCTAGTTCTGAATCCCTGTATTTGTTCCAATTTACTGCAGGAGAAAGTGGAGAGGAGAAGTTGAGCAAAGAGAAGCCATAATCAGAATATATTGCAGGAAAACCATATTTTCAATGAAAATATTAAACTATGTTATCATTAAGTTTTAATTAAAATATAATTTCATGTCTTTCCCTTTTCTCCTTCTACGCCTTCCCAAGTCGGCTACCATGTTCCCCTTCAGTCAATCTCAAATCAATAGCCTCTTTTTAATTTTATTAGTGTTGTTACATATATGCACATAGATAAATACAAATATATATACATATATGTGTGTACACACACACACACACATACACACATATATCCTTCTGAGTCTGTTTAGCATGGCTTGGATATATTTGATTGCAGGGTTGTACTCTTTATGGGATAACATAGAAACCCCAGTTAGGGAGCTCATTCCTGGGAAATAATGATTGTCCTCTTCTCAACATTAATTGGTTCCTTTTAGTTCTTTATCTAGCCTTGGAGCCCAGTGAGATTTCCTTCCTCCTAGGTTAGCATGAGCAGAACTGACTTGCTTATAAATTTTTAGTTAAATATTCCATTGTCATTTGTACATATATTAGGTATGATATGATGGATCCTCTATGTTTATGTTGCTAACAAGAATATAGCAAAGATTATTAAGTATTGGACATTAGTTGGGAGCTGTGAACCCCCAGACTTTGAATTTCTTGTAAACAACGTGTTATGCTTACAGCTGCTCTGAGAACGAGACCCTCAGGAGTTTCTGATGGCAAGGGATTGGTTTCTGGTGGGTTTGGCTGGTGCCCTAGCTAGACGTGTTATACCAGCACACATTACCAGGAATGGCTTTGGCCAGTGATTCCATAACATACAAGTCATCAGGACTACAAAGCACTCAGCTCTACGTAGGGTGTCTTTATCAAATCCCTTCTTCAAGGCTCAAGCATTTATTCGCACATGCAGGCACTCAGAGAAACTGACAGCGTGCACAAGGGCTGCACAATTTCAAACCAGACAAAACTCCAGCACAGAGGAGATGTAGACACAAAGCCCTGTTCCTAACCAAGAAACTATTTTCAATAGTTTCCTCTAGGGACAAGAAACTGCTTTCTCCAACAATGTCCCTGGAATATCAACAACATCCCAGTTCAGGTCCTGTGCAAAGGTGTGGTTTACCAACACTAAATATGCTTCATGGATTTGTTTGTTGGTTGGTTGGTTTGTTTTTGTTGTTGTTTTATTTAGTTTGAGTGAGCATTTGGTTTTGCTTGGTTTCGTTTTGGATTATTTTTTTTTTTTACTTTTTATTGATTCTTTGTGGCTTTCATATCCCGTATCTAGATTTCATTTATCTCCCATCCTTTTGCTACAGCTGGTGAGGGACAGACCCGGTTCTCCCTAGTACTGCATACAGAGATCGTAGGGGATAGCACTGTGCAGACCTATCCTCTCGGCCTTCGATGGTAACAGGAGCAATGAATATCAGCACAGAGTCTACAGAAGGGCCATAGGCCTTGGCAGCAGTCCAGCTGCAGACTTTACAGTGGCCCTGGGTAGCACCCAGGCCACCCACCTCAGTTACTCCAAACTTCCTTCACCTCTTTAGGTCTGTGTTTCTCCACAGGTTATGAGCCATTCCTCCACCTCTCTCTCTCTCTCCATCCCCCTTCCCATATCCCACCGTATATTTGCTGACCATAATAATACCCAGCTGCCTGGTGCCAAAAGACTCCTAGCAGATTCATGTTTTCTTCTCCTCATTCTCCAGGGCAGGCCGCCCCAGGCAAGCATGTAGATCTACTTCTCATGCTCACTCATAATGGCCAGTTTTTTTTTTTGTTTTTATTTTCATGGAGGGGCAAGCAAAGAGTGAGGGGGGAAGGAGAGAGTGAGAGCTAGTGCAGCTATGAAAAGAGAGAGCAAGAGAGAGAGAGAGGAAGAGAGTGAGCACATGAAATTGGATGGATAGGTTGATGAGGATCTGGTAGGTGTATGAAGAAAAGAAATAGGATCAAAATGTATTTACTGAAATAATTTTTAATTAACATTATTTTAATGTTTAAAATTGGAAAAAAATTCCAAGTAAAGAATGCTGTTTTAAAAACACTTTAAACTTGTCAATAAAATGGTATTTTAAGCAAAATTATAGTAAATATTCACTAAAGACTTCAAATTATAAACACAGCCACTTAAAATAAATAAGCTATGTAAATTCAACATTTTCAAGCCTTGTGAAATTATCATACTGACGAATACTTGAGGTGACAGCAAGCCAAGTAGTTCATATTCTTGTGCGCCTGAAAAACCCACACCTGATTTTCTGGCAGAAAGGATAACAAAAGCATGTTTCCTCTACTGACATTCAGTTAATTTTCCTGCATTTTGGAGTTAAAATCTATGTGAAAAGCGTAATAAAACTGTCTATAACCAAGTCATGACTTTCGGGAGTTCGCGTTGAAGGTACCTTACTAAAGTAGTGTGAACATTTGGTTTTCTTTACTTAGTGAGTATTTCAATGGATTTTTAACTGCTGCATAGCTTTGATAAAACCGAGAGTCTTCGTTTTCAAGAACAAAATGCTCCTCCCCCAATTGAACAGGTGCTCCTACAATGGAAAAGCCATCCAGATGAGCATTTAGCAGCCGAGCGAATTAGTTTGTAATTATTGCAGACATGCTATTTATTAAAATACGCAATTATAGTTGAGAGTGACTTTTCAAAAGCAGCGCTGACATTATTATGGATAAGACTAAAGGGGAAAGAACTTCCGGAGATTGAAAATGAAATTGCTTGTCAACTTTCTTTCCAGAATATGCTTGCATGCAGGGCAACCTCCTTCAACTCTGTCTCCCTTTCCCCGGTTTTGTGGTACTCACTTTCTGGTGAGAGGAGCTGTGGATGCAGCAGTAACTTTTCCAAAGCGATACAGTCAGCAGAGCTGGGGCCCTCAGTGGAGTTCTGACTCCTGGTAGCCTTGTTTCAGTCATTAGACCTATCCCCAACCTTTATACACTACCCAAGAAGACTGCCATAACATCTGCAGCACTACAACAGTGAGCCCTCCAAATTAAAGTGTACGGATTACAGTTCCATCATGTAAGTGTTAGAGGTGCAAGGCAAGTGGCCCCTTTCGTGTGTCACCATGCTTTTCTCCTTTGGGTCTGCGAACAAGAACGCAAACACTGCACTGCGCTAGAGAAATAATATCTGCCGTACATCAACCTGTCTGCTCCCTAAACTTCCTGCTTGACAGTGTTTACTGGAAAATGACCTTTCCCAGAAATATAACATGCTTTTCTTGGTGATAAGAAATTTAACATTTGCCCTGGTTGTTTCACTTGTCATTTCAAGGAACATTACAACATTGGCCTTAATACACAAGGTCTGTGTCTCCTCGGTTATTTTCAATAATTAAAAGAATAATAGCAATAACTGTAATAGGAACAACATAATAAGAAACAAACAACAAAACCCCACACCCAATAAAACAAAATGCCATAAAGATTCTAAGTTGTTCCCTTCACTCTTCTAAGTATATCTTTACATATTTCCTATACATAAAAAAAAGACATAAAGATATGAGAAGGCTGGGGACTTAGCTTAGGTGCTTCCTTCTCATTCCCAAAGTCCAAGTTGGATTCCTAAC